AATTGTAAAAATTACTAGGTACGTATAAACTTCAAAAGCTAAACCAAAAATATAACCAAATAACAAAAATCACTGGAATTGAAGATTTAATTAAAAACCTATGAACAAAGAAAAATCTCAGATCCTTATGAATATACAGCTGAGGTCTACAAATAAACTTAGAGAAGATCTAACACCATTGTACCTCAGACTCTTCAATGAAATCAAAGTAAAGCATTATCTCCAAACCCCTTCCTGGAAGAAATCATCATGCTGATACCAAAACTGGAGAGATACCCAACTAAGAAGGAGATTAACAGGCCAGTCTCACTGATGAATATACACATCTTTACTGTAATAGAACTTTATATAAGGAAAAATATGGAAATATATATATAATAAGCCATATAAACTTACAATTCCTTTTAAATTCCATTTTATACCATGAATTCTGACTTCAAATTTTAGAAATATAATCCCCACATCTAGTTGTCATGTTCTGCAGTATCTGACATAGCAAAATGAGATTCATTTCCTTTACCTTTATTTTCTGATGAAGGCATAGTATTCCTATTCCTGTTGAACTGCTAGAATGATGTGATTTCTGGACTATGCCAGATTATTTATGCTCGGGGCACAAAGGGTATTGTATATTTGTTAACTGAAATGAAAATGGAAAAATGGGGCCAGGGAGATAGCTCAGTAGAATAAGCGCTTGTCTGGCAAGCACAAGGGCCTGAGTTCAATCCCTGGTTCTGAAAAAAAAAAAAAAAAAAAAAAAAAAAAAAAAAAAAAAAAAAAAAAAAAAAAAAAAAAAAAAAAAAAAAAAAAAAAAAAAAAAAAAGAAAGAAAATGGAAAGATGATAGTTATGTTTCTTAATGTTAAGCAGGAAATAGTTCCAAACACACTAATGCAGGACTTTAAGAATAGTCATATATAGTTTTGATTATTTTAAAGGGTAATTGGAAAATAACTTCAGCATTTATGACTTGAATTCCATTTGTCAACTCATTGTTAAGAAACAATTTCAGAAAAAATATTTTAATAGTTTCCATAGGAGATAGATGAAAATATTTTATTTGTCTATATACATAATATAGATTTTCTGTTTTTGCTTTACTGGGGATTGAACTCAGGAACCTGCACTTGCCAGGCAAGTATTTATATTTTCAACATAGAAAGTGAATGAATATTCTTAGTTAGTTCCCTATACAGAGCTTTCTAAATTAAAACAAAATAAAAATGAAAGGTGATTCAAATACATTTTACTGATGAATGACAAAATATTATTTTTATTTCCATTACTAAATTATTTTTTAGCAAGATGTCTCATTCATTTTGCCTCATGGGTTTACTATGACTTTTACTCCCAATCTGGATACTAATTAAACTAACTGAAACTTAAACTTAAGGTACTAGTGACTACCTCTAAAAAGAGCCACCTGGTGACTTTCATGCACCCAACTATAGTCACTGGTGCTGTAATCTTTATTTGTTTGTTTGTTTGTTTGTTTGTTTTACAGTACCAGAGATCGAGCTTGGGACCTTGCACTTGCCGAACAGGTGCTCATGCTGCTGAGCCATAGCATGTACATCTTAAGCAATGTGACGATAGGATCCCAGCCTCAGTCGCCATCTCAGCGCACCCCAGTGGCAGGGCCATCACTGCATGCTCAGAATTGAACCCCAGCCACTGCATCTAGCTAAGCTGGGGCTTTAATCTTCTGAGCTATTTGGTCGGCCCTAATCAAGATTTTATGAAGAAAGAAACATAGGAGAAACTTGATGGCAAGTGTTCTGAAGGAAGGAGGGAGAAGGAGGGGAAGGTGTTCGAAATTCACTTCAAACTTTCCATACAGGTTCTATTTTAATTTGCAAAATAAGCTTGATATGGGTACTGGGGGAGAGACTGTATGGCTCAGTTAAAAGTCTTCGTTCTGTGTCCCTTTAAGTCTTAGGTTGGTCATTCTCTTTCGTTTTCTGAAAAGAAGAGAAAAATAGACAAATGCCTACTTCTTGTAGTTGTACTGGGAATAGAGAAATAAAATAAAATATATTTAAATGAGGCTCTGGCCAGCATAAATACTTACTCTGAAATGATGTAACAAAAATAAGATCATGTTCCAAAATGGATGATGTATTTTTAATAGATCAGAGGTCACGATTTCTGGTCCCAAATCATTTACTCTAGAGTCATGAATTTGAATTAAGCGTATCATACAAACTTAGATTCATTGTCACGGAAAATTTAACTTACATGAATATGAGCAAATGTCTTACAGAGCAATGTGCTGTCCTAGGCATCATATGCAATGAAATGCAATTATAATGCACGTGCTTGATATGGTGAAGAGAAGGAATGGATAACCACAAGATGATTTTGAACAAGAGCCTGGGGCTCTCAAAAGTCAGTATAACAAAGTTTGCATCATGTTTTAAATTTAGAATTATTTACTACAAGTTAAAATGTAAAGATATGATTAAATCTATATGTAAAGTATTATATCCCCTAAGCACATCGTGTCAGGAGAGGCTACCAGGATGTATAGTAAAGGAGAGTGGATGTTGACAAAATTATTCTGGTGTCAAATATGACTCTAAGGGGAGGGGGAGATGGCTCAGTGGAATAAGCACTTCCCTGGCAAGCTCAAGGGCCCTAGTTCAATACCTGGTTCCATGAAATAAAAATGACTATAATATTGAAGAAAATAGTTGAAGAACTAGGACTCAGCAAAATCAATTGAAAATTGTAAAAGTTATTGCCTATAGAGTTGAGTACATCTTCCAAAAGTCTTATTTAAATATATTCATTGCCTAAAGTGCTAGCAATTTATTGTGAGACCAGAGTGATTTAGTGGTATGTAATGGATGAAGTTAGGGAACTACTTCCATGAATTATTTATGTTCTTATTGGCAGCACTCAAGTTCTGGCACAGTAGGGGAATTTGGAGAAATCTCTTACTCCTTTTTTTCTTTTTTGGCCCCTGCTAACTTATTAATCATCTTTTTATGTCAACCATCTTCCATGGGTAAAAATGCCACCTGTTCATCTGAAAATGGGTCTGTGTAGCCCATGACCTTGTAGTTCTGCATGAAAACAACAGATATTGACTATAGTATTAATAGACTTCATCTAATACCTGCCCTTTCTTTAGCACTGAGACAAATCTATGCTACAGAAAAATAACAGTGCTTTTTTTTTTTTCTTTAGAGGAGAGACTGGAAAAACAGGCTATGCAAACAGATAAAATACATCCCAATAAAATAAAACCAGGAGTGGGATCTGAAAGTAGGTTGGCCTCGTAAGTGATCTGGGATCGACTTGCTCCAAAATACTTTATCTAGTACTTAAAATAAAAGTAATACGTTTTTCACAGAAAAAGACTTTCTAAATGAATGCGTGCCATTAAGCAAAAACCTTTCTATGATCCATACTTAGGTGTTGGATGGAGCAGAATGAGAACTGGATGGGCTTAGAATGGCCCTTTGCTATCAGATGGGCAGTGAAGCAATTAAGCAGGAAAAGTGGGGAGAGGAAGAGTCTGGGAGAGTGGACATTGCAACATGGTGCCATTTGCATTTCAACATTGAAGAAAAAAAGATTATGGATCGAATGTCTGGTGATTATGGCAAGGAACAGATGAAACTTTGTATTCAGGCATTTCAGGACAGCTTTTCGTAAAGGATCAATTCAGAAAGGAGGTGATTTTTAACAAACAGGTGATAGTGTAATTTCCAAGGGGCTCTAAGTCATCAGATAGCAATTAGTTCAATGTGGGTATGGATCTTTATGGGAAGGGTCCATATATTTATTTATTTATTTATGACTGAAAAATGCTGAACAAACAGCATTATTAATATACAAAATATTATATTACTGAACTACTAACAGATGATGTTCTCTGTGTTGGTAAAACATTGGAACCACATAGCTGATTTGTTAAATCTAGTCCATGCCAGCTTCCAAAAACCAGAAAAGATTTAGTTGGCTTCATTTTTTGATGCTTCATCAAAATTTTCTACGAGATCAGGGACATCATCATCTTCCTCGTCCATGTCCTCTGGCTTCGGTGCTTTGCTGTCCAACACTTGTCGTGGGAACTGTTCAGCTAATTTCCTAAGACTTGTTAAGCTGTCGGCACCCAGCTGACTTAATATTCCAGGAAGCATTTCTGTGATTGGTTTGGCTTCTGCATGACCAGTAATTGCAAAGGTGTTAGCAGAGAGGGAAGCTTGGACTTTGGGATTGTTGAAATGAATTACTGTCCCATCATCTTTAATCATGTTCACCTCTTCAATGCCAGCTATATTATTCACTGCCAGTTTTTTCAGAGAACTCTGAAGCTTTGTGTCATCAGCTGTAGCTGTTCTATGTACCACTTTCTTCTTTCTGCGAGCTGTACCCATGCCCCCTATCCAGACCTGAGCCTGAAGTTTGGCTAACTTTTCTTGATTCATGCTGTTGGTAAATCTGAAGCTGGGAGGGTCCTCCAACACCAGCACGCGGCAAGAGCAAGATGGCTGCCTCCAGGGTCCATATATTTAAAGGTACATCTAAAAGGTATTGTGATCTTTTTAAAGGTCATGGTCAATCTTGATGGTAGCTTTTTCCTAGGAAAGCTGGTAAAAAGATGATGAGGAGCAAATAAGTTTGCCTATTTTTAAAAAGTATTTCTAGTTAATGTTGGTACTCTCCTTTGGTCAGACCCCAACATCAATCAGCAACTAATAATTCATCTGCCTTTTTGTAGAAGTCAGATACCTTAGGCATACTTGGAGAGTTCAAGAGAAGATTCCCAGTGTGTGACTCAATTTCTACCTTCAAAATTTCATGATGAAAATTATTGAAGATAAAAAAAAAATGACCTTTTCTACCAAGATACATTTTTAGTAAAATGTATTTTTTAAATAATATTCACAGGACTGTAGATAGTTTGGCTAATGTGAGCACCTGCCTGGCAAGCGCAAGGACCCGGGTTTGATCTACAGTACCCCATGCCATGCTGAAGTGGAACCCCAGGTATGCTGGGCCAGCGACCAAGTCTGGGCATGGTAGTACACGCCTGTAATCCCAGGGCTGGGGAAGCTGAGAGAAGCATCACTACGAGTCCAAGCTGTGTAGTGAGACTATGTAGCAAATAAATAAATGATAAAAGATCAAAACAATAAAAAATAATGTTCACAATAGAGTTTGGCTATATTTTTATGCTATTAATATATGCAACCACACCCTTGAGTATGTTTGTTCACAGGTAAAGAGTGATTTCTCGATCATTTCCTCATGTTTCCTGGATCCAGTATATTCTCTTTCTCTAAAACACTATCTTCCTTTGTTCTGTCTTTTCCAGGCTATAAATTGTCTAATTTGCCATAAAAACTCCATTTAGTATGACTTGCGTAAATGAATTACTATTGACATAGTTTTAATTTTCCATAAAATATTAAAATAAATGCCAAGAAATAGTGAGATGATCTCACCAGGCACAGATTCAGATATAACACAAACAGGGCAGCTCCGTGTGACACGAATGTCAAGGGTACGAAAATCGTCCTCTGATGTCGCCGCTTAGCCAGGGCCATGAGCACTTTCAGTACCCGTCTGTCTTTGCCGGCTCATCCATCTCCTGCTGCCAACACAGAGACGTGTCTGGTCCTTTTCATTCAATCTGTAGTCTGGGGCTTTTGCTTGGAGAGCCAAGAACATTTGCCTTAATTATTGTCATTGAAAAGTACATGCTGATTTCTGTTATTTTGTTATTTTCCAGTATTGGGTTCTTTTTTCTTAACTAGTCTCTGAGGGATTTTTTTGGTTTTTTTCATTTCTTTCTTCTTAGAGTTATCACACATTTTCTGCAGAGCTAGCTTACTGACTATGAATTTCCTCAGTTTATCCTCATCATTAACACCTTTATTTCTCCTTCCAGTGTGAAGAATAAACTATACAAGATATAATCATGTGTGTTGGCACTGTTTTTCAAGGCTAGAAAAATTTCATGCCAAGTCTTCCTGGCAGTTAAGATTTTTGTTGAGAAATCTATTGTTGTCCTGATGGGTTTTCTCTTATATGTAATTTGTTATTTCTTTCAAAATTGTTTTCCATTTCTCTGAATTTTGGTAATTTTGACCACAGTGTGTCATAGAGAGATTATTTTCCAGAGATGTGTCTCCTTGCTCTGGAAATAGATCTCATTCTCCAGATTTGAGAAATTTTCTATAATGCTTTAGTTTTTTACAATTATTTATTCATTTAGGCCAGTTCAACCCACCCTGAGGGGGGCAGCTGGCGTGGTATGTGGTGGTGGGGTTAAACATTGTCCCGTGAGTCTGCATAAACTTGCATAAGCTGGCATTTTAGACTACTGAGCTCTCTCTCTGGCCTTCTATACTGCTTTAAATGGAAAGACGTTCTGTGCCATTAAACTCTGCTTAGGCAACCTTTATTGACTCTAAGGTTTTCCTCTCTTAAAATTGTCAAGAAACTCTTGAATGATGTCTTTATTTTTTCTTTTCAGAATTATTAACAATGATCAAAAATGTGTAACTTATCTTCAAGGCCTGATGTCCTTTATTTTGACTTAACTTCTCTATTGATAACTGGGCTTTTTATTTGGCTTCCTGAGATTTTCATTTGTTCGATTTTTTTCATAACTGTATCTCCTT